CGTGTTGTCCACGGAATTGATGTGTTCGATCCTAAATTTAACATTGTGTCCCCTGGTGCTGACATGAGCATATACTACCCTTACACTGAGGAGAAGAGGAGATTAAAGCATTTCCATGCTGATATCGAAGAACTTCTTTACAGCAAAGTTGAAAACGAAGAACACTTGTAAGTGCACTACTCCGAACCAATCCCTATGCAAAATTAGCCACTGGAAGTAATAATAATCTGTATGTCGGTGTCCGACAGATGTGTGCTAAATGACCGTAACAAGCCAATTCTATTCACAATGGCAAGGCTGGACCGTGTTAAGAATTTAACCGGACTTGTCGAGTGGTATGGGAAGAACCCCAAGTTGCGTGAGTTGGTTAACCTCGTTGTAGTAGGTGGAGATCGGAGGAAAGAATCCAAGGATTTGGAAGAGAAGGCCGAGATGGCAAAGATGGTCGAGCTCATCGAGAAGTACAAGCTGAATGGTCAATTCCGATGGATATCATCCCAAATGAACAGAGTTAGGAACGGTGAACTTTACCGATACATTTGCGACACAAAGGGTGCCTTCGTACAGCCTGCATTATACGAAGCCTTTGGATTGACTGTTGTCGAGGCAATGACTTGTGGTTTGCCGACATTTGCAACTTGCAACGGTGGACCTGCCGAGATTATCGTTCATGGTAAATCTGGCTTCAACATCGACCCTTACCACGGTGACCAAGCTGCTGAGATCCTCGTCGACTTCTTCGAGAAATGCAAGACAGATCCGTCTCACTGGACCAAGATCTCTGAGGGAGGCTTAAAGCGTATTGAGGAGAAGTAAGCAAAACTCACATTTATTTGTTTCTCTTCCCCCAAGTTAACTCCAGACTTTGTTCTTACATCTCTGCATTTTTTTCGAATCAGGTACACATGGCAGATTTACTCCGAGAGACTATTGACCCTGACAGGAGTGTACGGTTTCTGGAAGCACGTTTCCAACCTCGACCGCCGCGAGAGCCGTCGTTACCTTGAGATGTTTTACGCTCTCAAGTACCGGAAGCTGGTATTTTCTCATGCACCGACACCGCTTCCGTTATTTCTTTCTTTCTCTGTCTATCCGGTCCGGTTTCAATACGTTAATGCTTTTAACTAAACTGTTTTGCAGGCTGAATCGGTTCCTTTGGCAGTTGAAGAGTAAATTGAAGCTTTGCTTGAAACTATTGGAAGGGTTTTCTTAGTTGTTGAGAATAAGCTTCGTTTGATCGAACAAGAGAACCCGCTTTTGTATTTGATTTGTAATCTTGTTTTCTTTTAATCTTTCCGCACTGTTTGAAGTCGGTTGTTTGCGAGTTTTGTTCTCCATGTTCCATGTTCCATCTTTAATCTGCTTCTGAAACTTCACTTTTAACAAAGCTTTGATTCGTATATTTAGAAGCTGAACAACTCGCTAACAAGTTTTAACAGATTCGGATTTGTTCGGACACACATTCAACATATGTTTCAAAATTTCGAATACATGTAATTTAAATTTAGTTTCAAATATAATATCAATAATATTTTCTATAAAAATCTCGAGTTGAAATAATGATTTAATTTTTTATCATTGCTAGTCGAATCCAAAGTACATTACTCGACCTAATTTCACGTATAACAAAAAAATAATTGAAAAGTGTTTGTTCCTGGCGCCCGAGGGTAAAGGACAGTTTCTTACCAGAAAAATCAAAAGGTTGAGAGTAAAGTCAAAATATAAAACAGTGGATTAAGAATCTTCTGAATGAACAAGAAAATAAACAAAGGGATGAATTTGGATTTAACATATTTCAAACTCTCTTCCCCGCACGTCTGTCGTTTTCAGCTCGCTATTTTCTACAATAAACTCAAAATTTTAAAAACCTTTATTTCGATCTCTAAACACACGCCGACCGTCACCCTTTTCCGTCGACGAAGCTCCACTTGACCTCACCTCCCCCCGACGACCAAATCCCTTGTGAAATCGTGACTGATCAATGACCGATTGACGATGAATCGACGTTTTATACCCCGCGAATCATAGGATGAAAATCGCAATCCCAAACGATTTCGACGGCCAATCGACAACAACTATGGCGACTTATAACTAGAATGTTAACAAGGACTACGTCTGTGGTGGTGTTCTTGGCTGGAAAGGGCAATGGCAGCGGGTTAGTGTTAGGATTTGGGAATTTTAAAGATTTTGAGGTTTTTTTTGAAATTTAAAAGAAATAAAGGTTTTTTTTATAAATATAATAATATTTTAAAAAATAAATTTTAAAATTACGAGATTGTGAAACGTGTCACTTAACAAAAAAAAAATTAATGTCCGTCACGACTTGACCTGTTTTAAGTAACAGAATGAAACAATAGATACCGAACTGACACAAAATAAATGTTAGGCATTAAATGAAATAATGTATTTCATTTTTTATTAGAGATAATTAGAAAAGTACTCTTTTAGTTCAATTTTTGGATCGAATTAAGAAAGGTGAGCCAACACCCGGGACCGGCTTACCAGCTCAATCGCTCCCCTACTCCTTTATAAAAGAACATTCTTCCTCTTTTCTTAGCTCAAAAACACCTTTCTTTCTCTACCAGGCCAAAAGCCTCAACGAAAACTCTTTGCAAACCCTTAAACCTCCCCCAATAAAAGAAATGGCGAAAGGAAGCAACAAGCTAACGAAGCTCTTGTCAGTTTTAAAGAAGCTCAACTCATTAAAAAACAAGCAAATCCGTTCCCCGACGTCGACGGCCGCCGTGGCAGCTTCCGACATCATCTACAACAACGAAGAATCATCCGCAAATCTCCACCCCGTCCAAGTCGGGAAATCCCCGAGAAGCTACCTCATTAGCTCCGACATAAGTGACAACCCTCTGTTCCGTGAACTCGCGGAACGGTCGACGTCGTTGAGCGAAAACAACACGGCGGAGATCAATGTGTCGTGCGATGTCGTCTTGTTCGAACACTTGCTTTGGATGCTCGAAAATGCCGACTCTCAACCCGAGTCTTTGGAAGAGCTTGTCGAGTTTTACGCTTGTTGATTGTTTCACGTACTACGGATCGTAAGTTGTACAATAATCATGTAATAATGACATGATTATAGAGCGATGTTAGAAAGAAACAGAGTCGATTTAATTTCAACGGTGAGGATTTAACCGAGTTCTCGCCGGCGACCGCCTCATCTGTCAGCCTAATGGTGGAGGTGGTGGGTTTAGATTCGTGTATCATTGTTGCTCATTGTCGTTTAAGAATTTTTCTTTATAATATATAAGAGATTAATGTTATTTTTCCCTTTCTACATTGTTTTAATTCATTACTTATTAAATTAATCTCTTAATTTCGAGTATTGTAAATAACAAATTTATTTAAAAGTAAGAACGAAAAATTACTCATATTATGAGACATTAAAATTTGAAGGCCTGAAAGTCTACCTTTAGATACGATTATACGAAGTTAAGTTTTTTGCTTGGGCACTATTTCTTATTAAAAATTATATATAGAGAGGGTTAGGATTCACTTACATAATATAAAATTAAAGTGTTTTTATACAGATTTAAGACTATTGGATGAGTAAAAATAGATGTATGAGATTAACTCTTTATTTTTTTTTCCAGTGAATATCTTTTCATTCATACTATTAATCTCAACCGTCTATTTTCTTTTATCTACTGGTCTTAAATTTATATAAAATTAAAAGAGTTATATATATATATATAATTTTAATCTTTAAATTTCATTTCTACTAATTAATTTTACGTTGAGTGTCTCAATAGGTGAGATAGAATGAACAATCATAATGAGGATTCACGATAAAAGTGTAATGAGATTAAATGATCGTATTGTAGAGGTAGAGAGACATTAACTCCATATAAAAAAAATAAAAATCTTGAAATTTAAAATCAATAATGCTATACATCTTATTAAACATATTTAAAAAAAAAGCAATATTCTAATGTTTAATTCATTTTTATTTATATTAGTCCGATGATGAACAAGGTAAGTAAAGAAAAGATTTTATATTTATAATATAATAAAAAGCTGATTGGTCATGGAATTGAATTAGTACAATACTCTCAGATTTATATATTAAGAAAATTTATGGGTCAAATGGCCAATGATTGGCTTGTTAGAGATGTGAGATAGACTGTTGGTTTGGTTGCTTTTTGTTGATTGACAATAAGGTTCGTGTTTTATTATTTATTTTATCACATTCAACAATAGATACAAAAGTTTCAAAATACAATATTTGAATTAAATATACCCTTTTTAATAATAATAAAAAAAATGAAATATACCGTTTACATTGTATTTAAATCCAATTTAAATAAATATATAATTTATTTATTTGGACAGCGGCTTTGGTAAGAGGAAGACAAGACAAATTTGTTCCCCAACACGCATTACCATTCGCGACGCGTTTGCCAAGCTGCCATGGCCAGGCCACCCATAAAGGCTTTAAAGGCCGGGTTTTTTTTAAAAGTTGAGTTTAGTATGAAATTATTTAAGTTTATTTTGATTTTTAGGTTCATCATTTATGATTACTTATGTTTAATTTTGAAATTGAGATTAAAAAAAATCAAACTACTATTATAATTTTATTTTTATTTGGTTAAGGTTGCATTCAAAATTATATAAATATATGTAATTTACAACCACTTAAAAAATCCTAATAATCATATAAAAATTAATCTTATATTATTATCAAAGTTTGAATTTTAAATTGTTATCATTCACATGTAAAATATAAGATCAATACAATAACAATAAACGTAGATTAAAAAGTAAAATTGATATATTTAAATAATTTCAACAATTAAAAAAATAAACAAATTTTTTAATTTATATTTACTTCAAAGTTAAATCAATCCCTTAACTTAATAATATAAACAAAATAAATACTTGAAAGAATCAATATGTTCAAAAAGTAAATTATTAATGTGTAAAAATATATAAATTCAAAATGCTTTAAACACATTAAAGTATTATAGAGTAGAAATACAACGTACACAAATATGAACTTTATTTTAAACCTATTAAGTGATTTTAATGATAGAAGGGAATACTTTTTTTCTTAGATGTTTCGATTTTGAATAATTACGTATGTATGATATATGTACTTTATTAATAAGCTGAACAATTATAAATAAATTTGATCTTATAATTCTCTTGTAATATTTAAATATGGGTTATGATCTACTTACACAATGTAAAACTCTTTAGATTTAGGACCGTTTGATGAATGAAAATAGACGACTAAGATTGATTTCTTACTCTCTTTTTTCAGTAAATATCTTCAAATTTCTAACTCTTAATCTTAATCATCTATTTTCATTTAATTAACAATCATAAATATGTGTAAAACTAAAAGAGTTTACATTGTTTAACAAGATCTTATCTTAATATAAGTTATGATTCAATTGCACAATATAAAACTCCCAAAAACACCCTTCTCAAACTCCCAAAACTCGGTCAAAATAAGGTAATATTATTACTTAAAAGACTAGTCAAAATAAGGTTTGAATACAACAACGAAGCCCAACCAAGCACAAAATAAGATCGTGGGATAAACAAAACCCATCTCTAAGATTTGCCGACTAGGATATTTTGGGCTAAGAATTCCACCCATTTCTTTGCAGAATTCATCACGGTGGTTAATGCTGAAAGCTGAAATGCAGTTCTTCTTGTAGAACCTGCTTTTCCTCCTCATAACCTTCATCTCTCTCCATATCTGTTCCACCATGTTTTCTGCACTCGGGAGCTTAAACTTTTCATCCAAAAGTCGAGCAAGCCACCTGCTTCGAAGCTCCATTGTTGGAATATACGCCAGACTATCGAAATAACCCATGGGTGGATCATTCCCCTGACAAAAGAATCATTAAATGCTGCAAAACATTGTTAACCGAGTTCTCGAGCATTCCTATACAAGGGCATGACCCCAGACGGGTATTCGATCAAACTCCGAAACGGCTCCGGTAAGATCGTTTTGAGCTTCTTCTTTCCATCACAACCGGTTGCAAGAATCACAACAGCGGCCTTCATTTTCGTATTGTCATCGAACTCGATTCCTTCTTTCCAGAACCACCAATCGGAAGCTCTTTTGAAAACGATGTTTCCCTTATCGGCTTCGGTGAAGAAATCTACCGGCACGATGGCCATATTACACGATGCATAATCTTCCTCAAATGGATGGTCTGGTATCAATCCGTACTTCCTTAATGGAAGTTTCCAAAGCAAGTAGGACTCGATGAACTTCGACACAACACGACTCTGTCACTTACGCACACACCGCATGAGCTTAGAACGAAAGAGAATTGTCCAAAGGGATTTATGTAAGAAATTTCGGCTCAACATTGGAGATAACAGGTAGCGAAGGAGGGTCCCGAGAATGGTTTGATTAGGTCTTTCATGGAAGAATTGAGAAAATCTTGTAGAGTAGAAGAGGTGAAAAGGCACACCCCAGACTCTAAAATGTGGAACAATCCAATGAGGTGTCCTTACCACCATGCATGGTGCATGGTTGCCCTTCACCTCCTTCATGCAAATTATTCAACATCAGCAAAATCGGTTCTTTATTAACTGATTTATCAAAACCTTTCGATAGTTTTTAAATTTATCTGATTCGAATTATGTTCGGTTCAATTCAGTAGCCGAATCAATATATATATATATCAGAAAAATGGTTCATTATTAACGAATCATGTTCGAATTAAAATTAATCTTAATTTTGTTTCATTAGTAATATTTCACCATAATTAATAAAATTAATGGAGAATTACCTTGATTTGCTTGTGCACGTACTATAGTTAAATCAATGGCTGATTTTCTATAGCCAACAACCACAACCTTCTTCCCCTTAAGTAGCTGAGAAGCAGTATCTTTGTTGAGCTTGCAGTAATCAACGGTATGAAGGATTTCCCCTTAAAAAATCTCAGGGCCTTTGTTGTTTGGAAATTTTGGAATTTTGGGTGTGTCCCCATATTTCCCAGTGCAAACTACAACAAATTCAAAGGCATACCACTGCAAATAAAAGGGGGGGACCCCCAAAAAAATCAAAATCAAAAGAGAAACTACACATGTATATACGCATAATATACATAATAGCATATCTTCTAAGCTAAATAACCCATAACTTATCACTTTATTTAAGTTTATATACTTTTATTGCATTTATGTAAACTCTTTAATTTCTTCAAAACGGCATATATATATATATATATATATATATATAAACTATTGGTTAACTAACAATTAACGCTAACGTAACATTTTCATATATGTTTAATTGCTTACGTGACATATATCGCATATGTTTAAGTGTCGATGTAGCATATGCCGCGTGTGCTTAGATGTTGATGTGAAAATATGGCATCATTAATAAGTTTAATTGTTCATAAAAAAACTTTATTTTAATCAAAGTTGAAAAGTTGAGGGTTAAAATATTTAAAAATATATGGGTCAAATTGATTATTCATGAAAACATTAAGGGTGAATTTTAATATTATGTCTTATTAATATATATCTAAACAAACTTTTTAATAAAAATCAATTTTACAATTGAAATAATATGACCTCAAGGTTGTTTGAATCTTTGGTTTGCACTGCAATCTCCCAAGCGGGTTGACCTAGCAATGGACGACTCCAATAGTCCTCATCACTTCCGACCAGCTCAACAACCATTTCTGGTCGGCGAGCAAGCCGGAGCTCCACCACCTTTGAATTGAACTTGACGAATTTCAGCACATCAAAGTGTTTAGCATACGATTCCAAGTAATCCAAAATCTCAGCATGAGAAGGAAAACTCGGTTCATCTCTATCCGGTCACAAAAATTCCGAGAATTCGTAACCTTTACGAGCCGTTTGTAGTTTAGTAGAATGATAAGCACATTATATTAATGATAAAAAAATTATGTTTAAATAAAATTATTTATAACACGTTACATAAGCATGTATCCAGAGTTTATAGTTACATATTTATTAAAATATTTTAAAATCAACTAGACTTAATGACATAATATATCTGGTAGTATTTTATAATAAAATAAGTTCAATAAAAAAAACTTAACCGAACTCATCAAGCAACCTTATTGATTAAAGCGAGTGTTTCTCCTTAGAAGTCTCGAGTTCAAACAATTACGCCTACATGATGTGTACATTGTCAATAGTTAAGAGAGATTATAAACATATATTGTCTTATAATCATCTCAATTTAATATTAAAAAAATTAATCATATTACGTTCAAAGAAAAATAAAAAAAAATATCTTGAGTAGGTAAAAAAAAATAATACTCAACCAACAACAACACATTATAATAAAAATAGAATAATGATAAAAACATATTTAGTTACAACTAAAAATGAAATAATAAAATTAATTGTAGCCAGACTTGAACTCAAAATCAAGTGATTATTAACCGTAGTTAATCAATTGAATAAAATACTATTATTTAATAAAAATTAATTTTATTTTCTCAATTAAAATATTTCGAGTTATTGACTTGATATGTCTTATTAGATAAGCATATTTAATACTCCCTGTCTCATTCAAATTGTCTCTTATTGATATGTCCTATAAAATAAGTATATTTTAATAATTTTTTAATGATGTTAATTAGATAAAAAGAAACTAAAATATGCATAAAATATCGGTAATAAACTTATGACTTTTTAGAGGGTATATTTAAGGGTGATTGGCAGCAGAGGAAGTCAACTCCAGAGTTTGACCAAAAACTGTAATAATAAAATCTTTTTGGAGTTATTTAATGATTAAGCTTGCAGAGGAAGTCAACGATAGTAAATAGGTCACTGACGATGGTGAAATACGGTGGCAGAATGGAGTGACGGTGACGGTGGTCGTATGGAAGGGAGTTGCGGTGGTGGAGTGGGGGGAGAGGGTGTTGAAGGCGAGAAAGGGAGAAATAATGTGTTGTCGTTATCAAGATTTGACGGCATTAAACGGCAACGTTGATAGGTTATGGGATGGATCATGCAGGAGAAGATGGCAGTATCCTTATTACATTTGTCTGAATCAAAAACAACTATTTTCTTGTTACATGAACACAGAAAATTAGGATATCAAAAACAACTGCATTTACTAGTTCTTCAACAAAAACCCTAGCTAGCTACAAATCAAAACCTTCAGAACAACACTGGAGGAGCAGTGGTTGAACTATTACACTCGTACGGGGAGAAAATGATCGATGAGTTATGCCCACCAAACCCAAAAGAATTCGACAATGCTGCCTTCACATTCAATCTTTCTTTCTTAGCCCCTACAAGTACACTTGCTTCCTGAATACATGTGTAAGCAAAATCGAACCATGTCATCCAAGAAGCAAAAGCTGCTGCAAAGCACAAGTGAATGAAAGGGGAAAGGGGGAGAAGAAGAAGAAGCAACATACCACTCCTTCATCCGGGTTTTCCAGGTTGATATTTGGATGAACCCAACCAGTTCGTATTGCCTACAATAAGTAGACATAACCATGTCGATACTCGGGTTAGAAGAAAGAAAAGGGAAATAGAAAGGGAGAAAGAAGATAAGATGCATGATTCTTTCATCCGTACTCGGATCATATAACTACAGAACAGAAATACACAGGAACCAGGGAAAGCAATCATATGGAATAACAGAACATAAACAACAAATGATCGGCACCGCACAACAAATTCCGTCCACGAAGTATGTTTCCTTAATCCAAGGTAATAACATAATCAAAACTCAAAATTGCAAACCTGTACTGTTGCAACAGCTTCTACGGCGCCAGAAGCTCCCAGTAGGTGACCAATCATCGACTTTGTAGAGTTCACCCTTAACTGCAAACGACAGAGATCTTATCAACTATCACAACGCAGAAGATTGAGAAACAGATTATGCAAAAAGATCCAGGTATTAGAGAAAAATATATCAAATTACCTCGGGATTGTTGCCAAAACAATGAAGAAGAGCTTGGTATTCTTTAATGTCTCCAGCTGGTGTTGATGTAGCATGAGCATTAATATAGTTTATATCTCCTCTAGATACTCCAGCATGAGCCAAAGCCTTTTCGATGCAGAGAATGACGCCAACACCTATTTTTAGATTGCACAAGAAAGATGTTAATTTAATATTTCATACAGTAACATGCACTGCAGGTAACATTCCGAGAAAGCACCATAAAATCATAATCTCATGAAATTTATTCCGCTTAATCACGACAAGCAAGCAAGAAAGAATTCAAATAAATTTGCGATTTAAGAAGAAAGAATTGCGGTAATGAAGGCATGGCTCAATACCATCAGGGTGAGGCTCAGTCATGTTATAAGCATCACAAGTGAAGCTTCCACCAAGGAATTCTGCATAGATAGTCGCACCTCTCCTCTGCAAAAACCAGAAATCTCAACTCTGTAATTTCCCTTCTCCGAAGCAAACTAAGCGCAAATCTATAGTGTCAAAGAAACTGTACCTTAGCATGCTCCAATTCTTCTAAAAGCAGAACCCCAGCACCTTCACCCATGACAAATCCATCACGAGTCTGGAGATTAGTACCACTATCCACGTAAATAACACACATGAAACAAACCAAGGAAACTTACATGCCTTTGAATAGAAAAGGCTCGATAAATGACTAGAGTAACTTTGTGAAAAACACCATGTGCACGTGCATATCTTAGTCATACCTGAGTTGTGTCTCTAAAGAGTTGTTAAGAAATGACAACGATTGAGGTAAATCCCGCTATTAAAAGATAAACATGTTGCTTACTAGTTTCAAATTATTAGATTAGTTAACATTAGTTTCCACCAAGTTTAATTCATTAACCCGTTATCTGTATCCGTTTCACTGCTTTTGTTATAGAACTTGGAGAGAGAAAAAAAGCAACAACCAAAAGAAAAACAATGGGCAAGAAGAGCAAGAGTTATTGTAACGTACAGCATCCCAAGGGCGTGAAGCTTTAGTAGGATCATTGTTCCTCCGAGAGAGCGCTCTACAAGCCACAAATCCCCCCAAACCTAAAATGACAAGATGACAAAATATAGTCTATACCTAGTGGAAAAATTGTAAAAAAATGTTGAACAAGATACCTATGGGTATAATTGCTGCATCCGAGCCACCACAAAGCATCATATCCTGCAATTTTGCTTCAAATGCATCAATTAAAATGCAATCGATAATACCATGATACATTGGATGTTTTTCTTTGCTCAACTTACAGCTTCACCTCTGATTATGTGATTTGCCGCATTAAATATACAGAAGTTGCTTGTAGCACATGCCGTGGAGATAGAATAATTAGGACCCATCCATCCCTGAAGAAATAATGAGTATAAATTTAAAGCTCGGAGTCCGAATTTCAACATCCATCAAGCTCTATCTTAACGTTGCAGAATCCGAATTTAAGCTAACCAAATCGATTGCAAGCATTGCAGAAGCCATATTCGTTGTAGCAAATGGTATGCAAAAAGATTTCATCTTCCTGTATGAGATCCTCAAAGCTTCAATTGCATCATTGAAAACCTGCGCATTCCGCAACAAACAACTTAAATGAACCAATAGATTTAAGGTCACGAAGCCCTCATGCTTCGGATCATATACCATGCCACTATTCGTTTTTCTAGCAAAATATTTTACATTACTCAGCTCTTTCTTCTTTCAAAACTATAAGCAGAATAACTTACTTTGACGCCACCCATTCCTGAACCAATCAAAACTCCACATTTCGCTTTATCTAACTCCTCCATTAGATCTTCAGTTACCCCACCATCTTGCAAGGCTTTCTTTCCCGCAGTGAGCGAGTAAAGCATGAATTTGTCCATCCTCATGGAATGCTTTGGTGCAACCCATCCATCGGTTGAGAAAGATTTGATCTCTCCAGCAATTCTCTGGAGAGAAAACGGGAGCACTAAGAAGGAGCACTAGTACAAACAAGAGCAAGATGAGAGATCTCAAACACCACTTACGGTCGGAAACTCGGCACAGTCAAAGTTTTCAATTTCACTTATACCACTGACTCCCTCTAGCAAATTGTTATAAAAGATATCAGGCTCGTGTCCAAGTGGAGTTACCACTCCCATCCCGGTCACAACGACTCGCCTTTGCTTTTCAGGAGGCTTCTTCTTAGTTGTAATTTCTCTTGTGAGTTGCACAGCTATAGCCATGGCTTCTCCTAAGTTTTTAAACAAATTATCCCGTAGAACGAATGTAATTCAGCCGGTAAGTTCTAAGAAATTCTTGGATTGAAGAAATTATATTTTCTTCATCACCACCATTTTATTAGATAACGTACACACATAAACAATCTCATATACATAGAAAATCCTAAAATTTTAGTATGCAAAACAAACATTTTTCTTATTTTATATAGAATGAGGCAGCAAACCCATAAAAATATTATTATAGGATGTTCATCAAAACAAAACAACAAATACTACAAACCTATACCAACTCATTAAGATATAAAATGTTGAGGCAGGGGAAGAGAGAAAATAATATTTTATGGAGTAATCAAAATCTGCATGTACTATATGTTTTGTATTAAATTCAGATTATCTGAGAAAATAGTGATTTTCCATGATCATAGACTTCATATCAACTTAAAATCAACTACATTTTGAGCTCTGAATTTTGTTTCAAGACAAACAATTCTTGGTTTATCTCACTAATTTAAGATTAATGTCCCAGATTATAAAAGAAATTTAACTCTCTCGGTTGAGCAGAAATTTACCAGAATGAGCAGCTCCTCGATTGATCCTTCTTGGCTTGCGACTGTTATTGAAGGGAACGTTTCTGGAGGAAAAGCTTCTATTTTGACCGAAGAAGCCACCATTTTTGGAGGAATAGTACTCATTACAAGGCTCGAAAACCAAGCAAGAAATCATCAAGCCTTGAATGGTGGATCCAATAAACGAAGAAATCAAACCCACGTCTTTGTTAGTGACTGAGCCGCCGCAGCATTTAGAAAGAAGAGCCTTCCTTCTGTTACGAGCCCCACGGCCGAGTTTATTACTAGAAGAAACCGAACCTGACAAGTCGAACAATGGAGACCGTGATTGGTCTTTCCCGGACACACAAGGCGCCACCAACCAAGTGCATAACGGGCTCTTTATTGATGAAGATGCCATCCCCAGATGCAAATTTAACTGGAAAATTATACTTAAAAGAAGGAAAAATATTAAAGATCCGGGATTGTATAAAGAGATTATTTATGTGATGTTAATAAAAATCTACCAATTCATCAATGAAAAATAACTTTGGAAAGAAATAGTCAAAAATAAGAAAATTGGGTGAATGATTTATGTATTCCTCAAAATTAAAGTGGGTAAATGAGGTGGAGTAAGTTACTATTTATAGTTGAAGTTTTTATATCTAATGGCTCAAATTTAATTGCATTAACAGATAAGTTGAAGATTAAATCTCATCTAACAAATTATATCTTATAGATTTTAAATTTAAATTAATATAATCCTTATATTATCTTTTTAATTTAGGTTATTATCTACTTAAATTAAAAAGAACATTTTTTATTCCCCAAATATCAGATTAAGTCTGATGATCTTGACAAACCCACTACTCTGCAATTATGTTTCAGATGCATCAGACAAAATGCAATCAATAATACCATTATATGTTGGATGTTTTTCTTTGCTCAACTTACAGCTTCGCCTCAAACTATGTGAATTGCCGCATTTAATATACAGAAGTTGCATGTAGCACATCCATCCATCCCTGAAGAAATAATGAGTATAAATTGAAAGCTCAGCGTCTAAATCTCAACATCCATCAGGCTCTATCTTAACGTTGCAGAATCCGAATTTAAGCTAACCAAATCCATCCATCGGTTGAGAAAGATTTGATCTCTCCACCAAAATCTGCACATGTACTATCTGTTTTGTATTAAATTCTGATTATCTGAGAATATAGTGATTTTCCATGATCATAGACTTAATAGCGACTTCAGATCAACTACATTTCTAGCTCTTAATTTTGTTTCAAGACAAACAATTTTGGTGTGTCTCACTGGTTAAGATTAAAGAAAAGAGGCAGAAACACAGTTCGCTAAAGAGTCAAATTCAAGGCAAATAAAGATGTTAAAGAAATGGGGAAAAAAAGTGATTCGAAAAGGCGGCAAAAAGCAACGTTATGTTTCTAAATCCAGAAAACCAAGGAGCTAAAGTTTACAAGAACGAGCAGCTCCTCGAAGGAAGAGAAATCATCAATCAAGGCTTGAAAGTAGAAAGAAAAAAGGCTTCCATTTTGACCCAAAAAGCCACCATTTTTGGAGGAATAGTACTCGTTACAAGGCTTGAAAGCCGAGCAAGAAATCATCAAGTCTTGAATGGTGGATCCACTAAAAGAAGAAATCAAGCCCGCGTTTTGTTAGTGGCTGAGCCGCCGCAGCATTTAGAAAGAAGAGCCTTCCTTCTGTTACGAGCCCAACGGCCGAAGAAGCCGGACCTGACGAGTCGAACGATGGAGACCGTGATTGGTCTTTCCCGGGCACACAAGCCGCCGGTAACCAAGTGCATAGCGGGCTTGCTAGTGATGAAGATGCCATCCCCCAAATGCAAATATAACTGGAAAATTATATGTAAAGAAGGGGAAAAAGAGATTATAAAGATTTGAGTTTGGATAAAGATGGATTATTTATTTGAGGTTAATAAAAATTTATCAACTCATCAATGGAAAAACCAACAAAAAGATAGAAATTTTGAAGAAGTAGAGCTGCATTCGATATAGGGGAAAAAGCTTTGAATCTGGGCTCTCCCAGTCGTTTCTGTTTAAGACTAAATGACTGCAGTGCCAAGTGCTATTTTTCTCTTTCAATTTTTTAAAATATTTAAACTTTTGTTTTCACCTATTGGTGTCAGAGATTTTGAGTTTCTTCCCGAATCAGAAAAACAAGAGGAAAGAAAAGGATCTTTGACTATTGTTTTTAGGTTAAAGTATACAAATGGTCCCTAAACTATAGGGTATTACTTTATTGAGTCTTATGACTAGTAAAAGTTATAAAATAGTCTTTCAATTATAAGGCATTACTTTGTTGAGTCCCTCGATAGTTAAATGTTACAAAATAGTCACTTGACTATTTATACGTTTCAAATTCGTCATTTTCCGTTAAAAAGTTGACAATTGTTTGAGTTGGATGTTAATTTTTTGACTAAGATGTGATAGAATTTGATCTCATAATCTCAAACGACTATCATATATCATTCAATAAATTAACCTCCAGTTCAAACGAACGTTAACTTTTTAACGGAAAAGGATGAGCTTGGAACATAATGAATAGTCGGGGGATTATTTTGTAACTTTTAATTGTCGAGGAACTCAACAAATAATACCCTATAATCAAGGGACTATTTTGTAACTTTTAATAGTCTAGAGGCTCAATAAAATAATATCTTATAATCGGTGGATCATTTATATACTTTAACCTTTTTATTAATTTTTGTATTTTTTAATAATATTAATTTTGATAATTTTTAGTTTAATACCTAACTTTCACGTAATTTGTGTTTTCTTTTGGCTTAATACAAAAATTAGCACCTAAATTAGTCTCGAAAAAATGTTTTAATATATGTATAATTTTTTGTTAAAAATAAATATTTAATATTTTATCTGTTACACTTTTAAGTATTTATCTTTGTCAAATACAATTTTTATGATGTGGGTTTTTGTTGTTAGAACAAATGAGAAAAAAAGAGACTGATCTATATGAGTTTTGATGAAAAAACAAACAAAACCCTTTACCAAATACAACTTTTATGATTTGGGTTTCCGTCATTAGAACAAATGAGCGAAAATGTGGAATGAAAAAATGTTAGATATTTATTTTTAACGAAAAATTCTTTAGACACTAAAACATTTTTCGAAACATAATTTAGACACTTATTTTTGTTTTAAGCCTTTTCCTTTTAACAAATTCTATACTTTCTTTTATTATTAGATTTCTCCTTTCATAATTGACCTTTGTTGTTTCCTTTCTTTTAATATGATCTTTATTTGTTTTGAAAAAATATATCAACTTTTATAAATTTTAATTTAAAATCCAAATCGTCGTAAGTTATGTTTAATCATCGACATTTATGATTTATTATATCTTTAATCTTAATGTTTCTTTTAAAGTTCTACTCTGGACATCTAATAATTCCCTTATAAAAATAAATCAGACGACACTACTAGACAACCTATAAATTAATTGAGTAAATCTAAAATTAATCCAACATCGGACACAGATAAATGTCATACTTCGCTCATTTGAAATCACCATTGACACTAAGGTCACAAAATATATACATAAGAATCTACTCATCTAGTCTAAATCACTTAATATATACAATGTGAGTTTTGAGAAGTTAATAGAGATTTTTAAATCACATAGTTTTTAGATATATAAGTTTCAAGTGTTTACGTATAATTTTTTAATCATATATTTATTGAGTAACTAAACATAAGGTTAATAAATGCATGTCGTCGTTACTCGTTCTGATTTATGTTTATACAATTATGTGTTTTTAACACATAACACATCACTTAACCACCAATCAAGTGCAAATTCGAGAAATAATCTAAAATAGATATTACTTTCAAAATTATTTTTATTTCGATGATATAAGAGTAAAAAAAGCACACAAACTATTTATTAGGTTTAGGAGTATTATTAGGCAAACTGGTTGAGATAATATAAGTGTTTTTTATTTATTTTTAATATAAATCATCCGGAGATTATTTTCTCATCTAGGGTGAATTGAATAGTACCAACCTAAAGACGTTAGGTATTTCACGCGTCTTCAAGCTAGATATGAAGACTCCATGACTGCGTGACGTCTTTAGGCAAATGAAGAAAATCTCATAATTACATAACATCTTCAGATAAATCAAAAAGATTCCAAAAGTACACTGCATCTTCAAATCAATAAGAAATCTTAATTTAAAAAATAATACGTAAATACCTTACGTGGGAAAATTAATTTTTCCCACACCTTATATGGGCGAGGAAGCCGATATTATCGTGGTGTGTGGAACGTAGCCAGGTCACATCACGTCCACTTATTTTAAAATTAATTATTTTATAATTCAAAATATTTCGTTTTAAATCATAATTTCGATTTGCTGGTCCACTAAAAGTCTAAATCACCTTTTTGACTTAATTTTTAGCAGCAATAATAATAATAATTAGGGGTGTAAATAAATAAAGTGTTCGAAAATTATTCGTGAATCGTTTATATAACGTTTGTTTATGTTTGTTTGTTAAGCTAGATAAACGAGTATAAATAAAAGATTTTATGTTTATTTAATAAACGAACGAGCACAATCAGAGGTGTGTTATGTTCGTTTATATTCAAGAACAAACTCGTTTATCAACTTGTTCATTTATGTTCATGAACAAGCTCGTTTACTTAGTTCTTTTTTTCCTTTTGTTTTATTTATATTTGAAATATTGGTGAATGTAAAGATTAAATTGAGCACATGGTAAAAGTTAAAATTTAAACGGTGAATTTTAAGGAGTTTAAGCTGGAAAAACTAAAAATTGAATATATAAATGAACGATAAACAAACACTAAACGTGTAACACCCCAACCCGTACCCGACCCGAATACGAGTCTGAGATGTCACATTGACTTTTAAAACAATATTCTTATAAAATATCAAAATATTTGAACTCATATTAAGAAAATACAATAATATACTATTAAATTATGCTTCAGTATAAAAATTTGAAAAAAATATGTACTTATAAACAATACTATACGGTATGAACAGTGCCGTGAACAGTGCTACAGTGCATCGATGCACTACTACAATACTTTCGTAAAAATACGTATAAATTCATAAAATTATAACATTTCATCGCTATGCAGTTACATTTACATAAATACGTTAAAAACATTATAAAACTCAATCATAGCATAAATACTTAATTTATCGACTTTGTTTACATGCCAACCATTATTATTCTTACAAAATACATACTATACATTTCTTTTATAATCTGATCTTTGGAAAGGAGAAACTGACCTGTCTTGCATAACTTTTATCAATATTCCTCTTCTCGAAACCTACGTGTGAAACAATCACACGCTAAGTCGTTGACTTAGAGTGGCATATAAAACATATAATAAAATCATAGAACATTTCTTATAACAGAATGCATACCTGTATATATACCCTCATTACCTCATTTCATTATCATTAACATGCTTTTATCGTATCATCTTATACTTATCATTTATACACATCATATATCATTTCATAAAGAAATACACATTACATCATATAATTCATGTAATACAGTTCATATAACTAAAAACATATGCATAACATTCATTGTATTCATTGTTATCTCTTTATTAGCCTATGTACACCTGTGAGAACTTAAGGTACGTGAGTACATTGAGGGTGTTGTGCACCACTATGCTGTCACCATAACTCGTATAAATGTCCCGAAGGACCAGTCCATAGATTTCGAAGAACCTAGGTAATAAGTCCATATGTCCCGAAGAACATAGGTAAACCCTCGACCCTTGGCATGCCAACTATACCCCTAGCTCTCATATCACATAACATGGGCATTATCATTTATAACAGTTCACATTACTTATTCATATCCTTTCTCTTATAAACACATATCTTTTCTTTTCAGTCACGTATCATATGTACGTGTAATCATTGATCTTATGATCACATGTTCATTCTCTTCTTTCACATACCATATGTATGTGTAAACTTATATCTAATATCATATAACACGTATCACAAATTCATGTATTCACATAGATCATTTCATATGTCTTTTATAATTTCTCATTTGTTCATGTAACCTTATATGTCATATCAAGTAACATATATCATATGTTTATATTTTTGGTCGGGTCTTACGTTTCTGTCTATATGAAGATATTTTTATGCAAGGGTTTATTTGCAGGGATTACTTCCCATTACAGACGTGCATATGAGGACTGCATATGAAGATTGTTCAACTACGTATTTTATTTATTTATTTAAGCATGCATTACATTTTATCTTTATTATTAATTTTTTGACTGGCCGGAGGTCTTCCACGGAAGCTGCTCTCAACCTGGCGTTGGTGGACAGCCTACTACCCTACCTCCCCCTTATCCCATTGCATATGTGAATAGGGTTTTGTTGTTGTTGTTGTTCTTACCATAGTAACTCCATCATTGGCTCATCGTAAGCCAATGTTTGATCAATCACATAAGTACAATTTAAATCGCACTCACCTTAGCCTTGCTTTGATCCTAATTTTTTTATTGTTTTCGAACTCGTTTAGGCTCTGTATCTACATAAATATAATTTTCAAAACAATTATCAGAAGCCTAAACCTTATAACTTGATGTTAATAACTTATGCTAGTTTAATGAACCAAAATTTCATTTTTCCTTTAGGGGTGTATCGATGCACTATGGGTGCATCGGTACACAAAATAGCTTCAAAATTCCCATGCATCGATGCCTACCTGAGTGCATCGATACACACTGAATGATTTCTGAAAATTTACTCTTGATGCATCGGTACATGTTGAATGTGTACCGATGCACACTAGTCCAAAATTCTCATTTATGCACGTAAATTACTTCCTTCTAATTTAATTGTGTCATATTTCAACCCCTTTCATATCCTTAACTCACATACACATGCTTAAACTCATTTATATCCATTTATCTCATCTTTAACCTCAAAATTCCATCTTTCATATGTAAATCAATAATCATACCAAATTTTCAAGATGCTCTAAATCTAATTCTATCACTTCATATCTCTTAATTAAGTTGATGACAAGTCAAATTTAGTTTCAAATTCAACTTATCAACTCTTTTCCAAAAATTCACTTAAAACTCATTTTCTTTAATCTCTCATAACTTCTTCATCTTTTGATTTTAAGACAACTTAAGCTTTCTTTAAGCTTAGTTATCATCTAATGATCAAAACCCACCCATAAAATCAACAAATAATTAACTAACAAAGAAACTCACCTTTGCCTTTGGGGGTTCACGTTGAAGAAGAAAAAAAGAAGATGAAGAGAAATTTTTGGAGAAAATAACTCCATCTTATCCTTATATCCTTATCAATCCCATTTTTAATTAATTTCTAAGTCAAATGACCGTTTTTCCCTTCACTTCATTTAATAATTACTAATAACTTTAGAAAATATCTCCACATAAATCATTGAACTATTCAACTATTTTATTTTTATCCCCAAATTCTGAAATTTTACAATTTAGTCACTAACCCGTAATTTGGGATGTTACAAAACGAACATGTTTGTGAACATTAAATGAGCATATAAATGAACATATTTATGAACAATAAATAAACGAACATAAATACCTTCAAAAATAAATAAACAAATACGAACATGATATTAAAAATTTAAACAAACACGAACCGGATATAAATACCTTTAAAAATAAACAAACGAACACAAGCATAATCTTATTAGTTCAAACTCAATTCTTTTACACATCTAATAATAACCGGTTAAGTACGTAAATAAATTAATAATGTATTTGGGTTTTATAAATTATTAACATATATTATATATAATATTTAAATGCTAAACATAATTTTGGGAAACCTTCGACAGCAGGCTTGTTGGGAAAACACTTGGTCAAAATATCCTTAAAAACTTCTCCAAAATTGCCACAATGGGCTGATTGCTGCCCATGACAGGTAGTATTGTCTCACCACCAAAGCCCTGTCCAAGGGGAATGTATAAGAGCATGATCTACGAGTGTAATCAAGACGGATTGAATGAGGTAAATCGGAAATAATTATTTTTATTTAAATTTTAATTTTTTATATAATATATATATATATTATATTTTTTTATTGATAATATGTTTTAATTTTTAAATTATTATAAATTCATTATTTAACAGCTAACATAAAATTTTACGTTAATATAATCAAGCCTAATCCAAGTAGTAGTAAGCTTGACTCGAGCTTGATTCAGTACAATTCGGAAAAGGTATCCGCCACAACCCACGCCATTCCAGTCCAGTTGCTTACCCCTGCTTCGTGCAATGGAGAGCAACCGAAGGCGACGGTGACATTGAGCTTCCTCGTGGGCGCCGCAATCGAGCTTGGCTGCCAAGTGATAGTCGTAGAAGCCATCACCAAAATGTCATTTTCGAAATCCTGCTTATTTTCTAAACCAAAATTCTACACAATTCCAAATCCGAGTGTTATTAAAGACTATCGGCCAATCTCCTGTTGTTCTGTAATTTACAAGATCATTACTAAAATCATTGTTAGAAGATTGACTGAATTCCTCCCAGAGATTATTACTTTGAATCAAACAGCTTTCATCAGAGGTAGGAGCATTATTGATAATACCCTTCTTGCTTAGGAGATGGTAAAAGGCTATGGAAGAAAATCTATCTCCCCGAGATGTGCTTTGAAAATTGATCTTCATAAAGCTTTTGATTCCATTCATTAGGGATTCATCTCACAAATTCTTAAAGCTCTCCAACTTCCTCATGCTTTCATTGCTTGGATCGAAGCTTGTTTCACAGGAGCAAGGTTTTCCATTTCTTTTAATGGGACCTTAATTGGCTACTTTAAAGGTGCTAGAGGCCTAAGACAGGGAGACCCTCTCTCCCCTTATCTTTTTGTTCTTGCAATGAATATTTTATCTCGAATGCTTAATTTAGCTGATGGAAGAGGAATGTTTGGTTTTCATCCTAAATGCAGGAAAATTGGTCTTACTCATCTATCGACAGATTATTTAATGATATTTTGCAAAGGTAATATTGAATCTATTATTGGTGTTCTTACTATTCTTGATCATTTCTATGAAGTCTCTGAGCTTAAATTGAATCCTTCCAAATGTGAGATTTTTGCTATGGGGATTCCATTAAGAACCATCGAGGATTTACAACAGATTATTGGGTTTCATATCGGAAGTCTTCATGTCCATTACCTTGGTATTCCTCTTGTCACCACAAGCTTACCGAAAAGGATTGTCAAGCTTTAATTGATAACATCAAGCTCAAGCTTCATCATTGGTCTGGGAGAAATCTCAGTTATGCAAGCAGACTATAGTTCATTAGATCAGTCTTATTCAATGTCAGCAACTACTGGTGCAAACAACTTGTTTTGCCAGCTTCAATCCTTAAAAATGTGGAACATATATGCTCTAGATACTTCTGGAAAGGAGTAGATAAATCTGCTGCTGGTGCTCGTGTGAGCTGGGAAAATATTTGTCTCTCCAAATCAGATGGTGGCCTCGGACTGAAGAATATTAAAACTTGGAATAGAGCTTGTCTCATTAGTCTAATTCGAAAAATATTAGCGGGAGATGGATCACTGTGGGTTGCATGGCTTAAGGCCTGTGCTTTTAAGGAGCAAGACTTTTGGCACTTCCAAGCTGCTGCAAATGTAAGTTGGAGTATCAGCAGAATCTTAAAATCAAGGGCTGAAGCTCTTCCAATTCTTTCAGTCGGTTCTCCGCATGTTAAGGAAATATGGGACTTGATTCGATTCAAAGGGTATAATGTTTCATGACACAAACTTATTTGGTTCCCATTGCATATTCCAAAGTTTAGTTTGATTGCTTGGATGGCTTTACTGAACAAATTGCCTACTAGAGACCAACTTATTAGAATAGGAATTAACACTGATGATCTTTGTGTTAATTGCAGTAACTCATACGAGACAAGGGACCACCTCTTCTCGTAATGTTCTCTGGCAGTGGAACTCTGGAATTCAATTTTGAACCTTAATGGGATGAATAACACTTACTTATCATGGGAAGAAATGGTTCAAAGGCATGTTCTTCATGGAAAGGGAGGTCTTTGCTTACTACCATTTTGAAAATTTCTTGGACTGCTTTTATTTACTCTCTATGACAGGAAAGAAATATGAGAATTTTCCAAGGACGGCGTAGAACAATCGATTGCTTGCTCAAAGATGTTAAAGACGTTGTTGGAATCCATCTTGGGGGAATCAATATTAATAGACTAGATAATACTAACTTAAAGCTTTGTAATGTTTGGGGTATAGTCTAACCAATCATTTTGTATAGGTTGTTTATTTGATTCTATTGTTGTTGATTGGTTGTTTGGTTGTAACTAAACCTTTATTTGGGTAATAAAATCAGAATTATCCAAAAAAAATTCTACACAATTACTAAAACAGGAAAAAAATCAAATCGGCAACCCGATTATTAGACATATTTTTTTTGGATAAATCAAGATTTTATTACCCAAAAATAGCAGCAAGTTGCTAACAAAACAGTTCAATCAAGGAACAAGCAAAGGGAACTATTTACAACAAATTAGACTATATCCCAATGATTACAAATAGCTAAGTTAATGCTATCTAATCTGTTGAAAATTCTATTACTTAGAAGAGTTCCTACTATCTCCTTAATAGCTTTGATAATTTCTGCTTTAGTTCTGGAAGTTCCTTTGAATATCCGACGATTTCGTTCTTCCCAAATGGTTTAATTAAAGGCGTTCCATGACAGCTTCAGAATGCAAGTTAGCAGTGATTTACCTTTCCATGAAGAGGTTGCCCATTGCAGCAAAATAGTCCAATTCGAGAAATTCATGTTCAGAGAAAGTTGCAGAATTGATTTCCAAATGGAAGCAGTCTTCGAGTATTCGGCAAAGAGGTGGTTCCTAGTTTCCGTTGCTTCCGAGCAGAACATACAAAGATCATTTGTAATAAGACCAAATCGTTGCATTATGTCCTTAGTGGGGAGCCGATCCAAAATAATCATCCATGAAATTATGCTATGCTTCGGGACATGTAAAGGATACCAGAGAAGTTTGTGCCATGCGACTTTAGCATCTCTTGGGCGGATTTCTTCCCAAATCTCTTTAGTACTTTTTACTGCTGTTACACGCACTGTTTGAGCAGCATTTCTGAGCTTCAGCATTCGCTTAAAGCTCTAGCTGGCAGATTGCAGTATTTCCATGGTCCAGAAATCATGCTGCTTAATTATGTAGGATTGAAGCCACACTATCCAAAGAGAACCTTCCCTTACAAGTAATTTCCTGATCAGAAAAAGTAGGCAGGCGTTGTTCCATGATTTGATATCCTTTAGTCCCAAACCTCCTTCTGATTTTGGTTTACAAATTTTCACCCAACTCACCCTTGCACCGACAGCAGAAATGTCCAAACCTTTCCAGAAAAATCTGGAACATAATTACTCAATCTTCTTGATAATGGTATGTGGTAAAACCAGCTGTCTACACCAATAATTCGCAACGCTGTAGAGAACTGTCTTTATAAGCTCAACTCTGCCTGCGTAGCTCAAATTCTTTCAGACCATTGGTGAAGTCTGCTCTTGATGGTGTCTAGCAAAGCTTTGCAATCTTTATCGGTAAGCTTTCTGGTGACAAGATGTACCCCGAGGTATCTAACATGTAGTTTTCCTTGTTTGAAACCAGTATAATTGATGATAGATTCAAGATTATGAGCCAAAATACCTGCAGTGAAAATCTCACATTTACCTGCGTTGAGCTTCAACCCATAATATTCATAAAAACAATCCAAAACAGTAATCACTCCCAAAACAAACTCAAGGTTTCCTTTGCAGAAAATCAATAAGTCATCAGCAAATGACAAGTGAGTGAGTTTAATTTTCTTGCATTTAGGATGGAAGGAAAAAATCCCTCTGGAAGCAGCGTTATTGAGAATATTAGAGAGCACATTCATAACCAGAACAAATAAAATAGGGGAAAGTGGATCACCTTGTCTGATTCCTTTTGCGCCCTTAAAAAACCAACCAAGCTTCCATTAAGAGCAATGGAATATCTAGCATTCGTATAGCATGAAACAATCCAATCGATGAATTTTGGAGGAAAATCCAGAGCTTTAAGAACTGCATAAATAAAGTCCCAATTGATGGAGTCAAAAACCTTTTGAAGATCAATTTTCAGTGCACATCTTGGTGATATGAACTTCCTCCCATATCCTTTAACAATTTCCTGCGCAAGAAGGGTATTATCTACTATACTCCTTTCTTTAACAAAAGCCGATTTATTAGGTGCAATAATCCTTGGCAGTATGTTAGTAATTCTATTGACAAGAATCTTTGTAATGGTCTTGTAAATAACCGAGCAACAAGAAATGGGTATGAAGTCAGAAACTGTGCTAGGATTCGACTTCTTTGGAATCAAGACAATAGTGGTTGCATTAAAGGCTGGATAAATAAATGATTCTTGAAAGAAGTACTTTATTGCCTTAATAACATCATTACCAACCACTGGCCAAGCTTTCTTGAAAAAGAGAGAAGTAAAACCGTCCGGTCCGGGAGCCTTGTCATTGCCTTGGCTGAAAATGACCTCTTTAATCTCATCACTAGTAACTTCCTTGACAAGAGCTTCAGTGTAACAAGTGATGAAATAGGTTGCATAAGACCTTTAAGAATTGCACGAGAGCATTCTTTTACTTCTGGATCCTTGGAACCTAAAAGATTTTTGAAGAACTCAATTATTTTCGAGGACATTTCATCAAATGATTCAAGTCTTTCCCCCCGATTATTGACAAGAACCCTTATAGTCTGCCTCTTGTTCTTAGTAGCAATGACTGAGTGAAAGAATTTTGTGCATTTATCACCCTCCTTAAGCCAATGCATTTTAGCTTTTTGTTTTAAGAACATCGTCTCTGCTTCTGTTAAAGAATTGAGCTCCTTTTGTAACTCGAGTTATTTCTCCAAGGAATCATCACCTCTTAAGGTAAGAATTTGATGCCTATCAAGTTCTTCTCTTTTTAGTCTAGTTCGAGCCGAGATGTCACTGAAATGGTCATTATTGAGCTGCTTAAGGCTTTCTTTGAGACGTTTAAGCTTTAAGAATAAAGACTTCATTGGGTTGCCTTGCACTGCCCTATTCCATGATTGACTAACAATGTTAAGAAAATCTGGATGCAAAGTCCAACAGTTGAAGAAATTGAATGGTTTGGGTCTATTTGAATGAGTCTCTTTGTGAAGATCAATCACTGCCATACAATGATCAGAAGGACCAGGCGCTAAGAATTCCACAGAAGAGTGAGAAAAATAATCGAACCATATATGATTGATGAGAACTCTATCAAGTTTTCGAGCAAGGAAATTGTCACTTTGTTTGTTACTCCACGAGAATGTTGGACCAAAGAAAGGATGGTCTTGTAACTGTAGATCTTGAGTAATATGCTGAAATTCTAACATGTTAGAGGAAGTGATCATACCCATAAGCTCGTGATCAGAACTTTCATAATTATTCAAGATAACATTAAAGTCACCTCCCATAAGCCAAGGAAGGTCACTATAATTTGATTCAAGATGCCAAAGTTCTTGCCAAAGTTGTCTTCTAATGATGCCATTATTACTACCATATATTGCAGTAATAATGAAGGGAGCGCCATTAAAAAGACCTTTGATAGTGATACTTTGATCAGTAGCTTTACATAAGGAGAAATCCAATCCTTTCCTCCACAAAAACCATATTATGACATTCACTGCAAAATCATAATTGGTGAGAACATTCCAATTCTCAAAAGAAGTAGCTAATAATTCATAAGATTTCTCTAATTTCACTCGAGTTTCCATCAAGCATAGGATATCCACATTATTCTTGGATTCCCTTTGAAGGACTTGGCCTTGTTTAAGAGGATTATTTAATCCTCTTACATTCTAAAAGGAAATTATCATTTTCCTTGGGATGAGGAGCTCGGTTCCCCTCCTTGACTTCCTACTGAAGAACCCTTAGATTTATCAAGATGAGACTTCTTTTTTTTTTTTGAGTTCTTTGATCAAAACAACAACACCAGAAGCAACTGCTCTTACTTTTTTCCCTTGATTCTCTGAGGTAGGGAGAGTCTCATTAATCGTGTTTAGTAGCTCAAAACGATTACTGGACCCTGTTAATGTATCGTGAGCTTTAGCATGCCTTCCTCTATTCCTTTTATTAAGGAGAGTAGGAGCAGAAATTGTATCAGTAGAATTACCTAGCTGATCTGGAATTATGGAGTTCTCTTCTTCATTAGGATCAGTAGAAGTTTCTTGATCATTAACCGTAGTAGAGACTTGTTGAATGGGTTCAGCCGAAGCATCAGTGTTGTTAACAGAATGATATGACTCTAAGGAAGAATGGTTCCCACCTTCAAAATCCTTAGAAGATATGTTCAAAGAAGGTATAGGATCAACAGACATTGCATTTTGTTTATGTTCAGTGCAAACAATTTCAAAATCCAGTGGGGTTGTAGTGGCATAATTTTTTTTCCTCTAAACCATTGTTGAGGTTTGAGGAATAGGATTTTGCTTACATCCTTTAACACAGTGTCCGAACACATTGCAGTATTTGCTCATGATACATGTGCTGAAATTCGAGATGCATTGCGGCCAAGCAACAGAGTCAAACCTCCAAAGCTGCTGCTTTGAAAAAACATACTTCTATTTCGTTGTCTGTTCCACTCACTGCGACACACTCTCTACTCCCCGACAACAAAACCCCAACTATAATAACGGATTCGGAATATTCTATGACAGCAACATCGTTAAACAAAACAATGGTGAAACTCGTAAACGAGAAATCGACGACCGAGAAAATCGAGACGCAGTTCAAGGGTGTTCGGAAACGGAAATGGGGAAAAAGGGTGTCCGAAAAACTTCCCAACAGTCGTGAAAGGATTTGGTTGGGATCTTACGAAACCGTCGAGAAAGCGACATGTGCTTTCGATGCAGCTACATTCTACTTACGCGGTCACTCTGCTAAGTTCAACTTTCCCGGTAATCCATTGGAGATTGCTTGTGGTAAACCTTTAACCTCTTTTGAAATCCTAGCTGCTGCTGCCCTGTTTGCGAATTCGGAGCCTTTGATGATCCATTCTGAGCAACCCGAACCCGCCTCCGGAACGGATTCGTTATCGCCGTCAGTTTCGGAGGAGACATTGCGGTTGAAATATGAATTACCTATGGTCGAACCGATTAAGGATGCTTTGTCGATGGATTTAAGGGATTACAATTTGGATTACGAGATACTTCCTGGATTTGATGATCTTACGGGGTCAATGGTGAGGAGGAGGATGTTGATGGGATTTTAGTTTCAGAATCTGTTCTTTGATAAATTTGTATAATCTGTATACTGTACCACGTATATCTAAGCAAGTCTATTGTGTTTGTCTTCCAATTCGAAAATTTTCAATTTAATACAAAAATTGTTTATTATAAATTATTAAAGATATGATTCTTTATCGATAATCAGTCCATCCAATAAAATTAGATATTATATTTTTTAAATAATATTAGAAGTTTGAATATTAATATCGTAAAAAATAAAAATAATAATCGAAGTCCACTGCAAACATCAATATTGATTTGAATCCAAAAATAACAAACCTCTCAATTTGAACTACATAGAATAAACTCTGTTAAAATTGTTCAATTTTTATCCAAAAAATCCATTTTAATTTAAAAGATAAAATGGAAATTTGTAGAATTATATTTTTTTATACATTGATGGAAGATTAAAAAAAATCAATTTGAGTAGATTTTTTTATATGTAACTTATTTCTAAACACAAAATTATCACTATAAATAGATATTACACATCTTAAATTTAAGATTAAATCTTAAATTATATTTAAGCGTAAATCTGACATAATGAATTTCATCTCTTTACCCATAGTTTTTTTTCTTAAAATAGTTTATCCATATTACATCTCAATATTTTTTTTACATTTTTTATTATTATACTTACATTATTACACTCTAGAGAAGTACAATAACTCCAACAATTAAATAACTTAATAATAAAATAATATTTTAATTCTAATTTACATTAATTTTCACACAAGTCATTTTCTTTCCTCGTTAAACAAACCTACATATACCCTATTTATATATTAAAAAAAGCACTCCATTAATGATATTAATTTTAAGAAAAACCTAACCTTTTAAGAACAAAAATACAAATATATAATAGGACTCAAGTGAAGACATTATCACACATTTCGTTTTCGCCTTTCCTTTTCCACTTATTTTCAATCAATTAGAAATCTAAGCATAGATTTGACGGGCTTTAATGAGTTAAAAGACAAGTTTAGGGCCTAGCATCAAATTTGCCAACTTTGACCATTAAAAGTCCTATCCACCACCGTTTAAAAGGCTGCTGCTCGTTGCTTCCACACTGTGGGATTTCGTCTACAACCACCACAATTTACACCAAAATTTTGATCCAAAAACAATCCATCCAATACCTCTTAGGTCCCGTTTGGTTCAAGGTATATTCCATTATCGAGGGGAATGTTTTTTTACCAACCGAATATACCCATGTTTGGATGGACAATATTACCAAGGGCCAGTAAAAAATTAATATCAATAGTGATTTTTTACACTGTTTTCCCAGGAATATTAATCCCTCGTCTCCCTTAGGTATTTGCTTATTCCCGTCATTGTTGTCTAAAATAGCCTCCCCACTGCTGAAATCTTCTTCTTCTTCGATTTGGCTTAGGTATTTGCTTTCAAAATTGGGATTCCCAAAATTGAAATCCCTAAACCATAAAGCGTTCATTCCTTCCTCACGCTCCACCGCTCTAGCCTCCAACTGTGCGCTCTAGGTTCACAGTCGTTAATGGTTGCCGGCTCATTGCAGCAGAAGGATGACAGAAAGAAGAATTTAGCTCTCGCTCCCTTTGCAAAGCCATTGATCAAGCAAGATTTCAAGACAGTAATGTTCTGTTTTTTCAGTTAATTGATATGTCTATGGTATTTGCCTTAGTTAATCTCAATGATTTAAATCTCATTTGATCTTCCTTTTTTCTCCATTTCAGTCCATACTTCGACAAGTCAAATTTGACAGGTGAATTGATTTATACCCAATGATCCCTTAAAACTGGCAATTTTTCATTAGTTGTTGTTGGTCATAATCTATTCATAAAATCCACCCTTAATTTTTACAGGTGAATTTGTCGTCGCTTTGTTCTGAGTTGCTAATCGATGCATTCTTTTTTATATATGTATAATTAATTTTCTTAGCTTGCGTTCCATCTGGCTTTCTCTATCTGTTTCCCTTTATGGCGTACTTTCATATTACTCTTTTACTGGTCTCTTTCCTTTCTTGGTTTATGTTAAAAGAAAAAATAACTAAAAGATTAAAATTCTGATAATTCAAGTGAAAAGTCAAAAGTTATGTTGGAATTTCTGTTGCATTTGGATTATTTGTTCAATCCAATGGGAATTTCATTTTTCGAGATTTTTCTTTTTGATTTATGGAAAAGATCTGAGAAAGCAAACAACATGATATGGTTTTGTGTACTTGTAATTTCTGGGTTTGGAAATTAGAATGGACTGTAATTTGTTCAGAAATGTAAATACATGCCTTTTTAGTTTATTGTAGGTGTGGAAGTGAAAGTGGAAGTAGAACGGATTTTATCTAAACTTGTTTTAAGATTGATTGATTTTTTGTCTATAAATTGATTATCAAATTGTTATTTTCCATGGACTTAGTCTGTGATTTCTTGACTTTGATGTCTTTCCAGGGTTCTTATCGATTGTCGTAGTTCGCATTTCCACAATTTTTTAAAATATGGGACATTGCTTCTCTAGGGTAAGTGCTTTTAGCACATGTTCTTTAAAGAAAGAAGCACAAAACACACAAATTAGGCAATTTCAAAGGCGCGAAATTGCTTGGTGCTAGCATATTCGATGCTGATTTGACAGTTTTTCTCCCAACTATTCTATGTAAACTAACTAAATTCGAACATTTTTCATTAAAGACCTTCAAAAGTCCCTCCATTTTTCTGTTGTCTCGAAAAAAGTATTCGACGAGACTAATTTCAAGTTTCGAGCTTGTTTTTAAGGTCCGATAATGGTTTGGGGTTTTCAAACATATGATTGCCATATAGGTTGAGGTCATTAAAGGGCTAGTAAAGTAATGTAGTAAAGTAATGTAATGTGGTTAAGTTGGCCTCACTGGTTAAAAGACCTCGATTCGTATCGGTTTTCATGAAATATTTGTAATCTTCATGAGTTGAGGTTGTAAAAGGCCTCGGGTAAAATCAATTTTTCATGGATCTTCCGCTGCTTTTATGCTCATATATGCTTACATAATAAACATCGACCTTTTTTTCGAGTTGCAGCTAGTAAATAGTTCAGATAAGTGCATGCCTGCAACTTTAAGCAAACTCTCGAATCTTTTGATCTTTGTCCCTGCTCTTGTTTTAAACGGTTTTTGATTAACCGAAACGATGCAGGAGCCGACCTTTCTGAAGCTGATCTTAGGATAGATAATTCAATGTTCTATCAGATGATATCTTTGTTCGAATCTCCAATCGTTCCTACCTGCAGGCAAATTTAAGCAACGCGAACTTGGAAGGCAGAACTGCAACGGGAAACACATCTTTCAAAGGATCAAATATAACATGTGTTGGTATGTATAAACTTCAGTTTACTCAACTCTCCGTCAGTTGAATATCGATGAACTGTGCATAATTTGCCCGCGAATCTCATTACTGCGTAGTCGGTCAATTTATTTGGTTGTCTTCTTATGATCAGATTTCACATATGTATCACTGCGAGATGATCAACATGAATATCTTTGCAAAGCTGCAGGTGGGTAAGATAACTAGCTATAACAACTGCTTTAAAACATGTTCTACATTTATCCGATTATTGAAACGACATTTTGGGGTTAGGGTGAATTCGACATCCGGAAACGCAACACGGGACACATTGCTTTGCAATTAGATGAAAGATCGAGAAATCACCGCCGCAACGGGTGTTATTCGAGGTATGTAAATATTTTGCTGTGAGGAACCATGTCATATGTGATCAATTGTGTCATTGTTTTTATTGCTTCCCACTTCGAAGACATGTAAAATGTGTATACCTCGTTATGTAATGAAATTTCAAACCAACTGTTGAGGTTTGTAAATGTTTTGCTGTGAACAACTATTTTCAACCTAATGATGTATACACTTTGAGTTTTATGACAAATTTCATGGCCATAATCTCTTTTAATAGCATGTATATCATGGGTATTTTTTTTTATTTTCGGTATATTCGAGCAAGGTTCGGGGTGAAAGGGACGACGATTAGTCACCGATCCTGCAATCTTTTCGGAAACAACTAACGACCATTAGGTCTAAATCCCACATTTTTCGCCTAGGCAGAAGACATCCTAGGACCTGAACACTAGATATGTTGGACAGTCACCTTCGAGGTGAAAGGAACGTTGATGGAGTTGATTTCCAGGTCTTCTTTTTCTTTATTCTTGTAATTGATGTTTCGGGGTTTCAAGCTCGAGCTCTTGTAGTCTTGTCCATGGTGAAGTTTACATGGATACTGCAACAATCATTCATATTGACATTTCTCATTTCCTTTCATTGACGTTTCAACTCAAACGTGATTTTGTTCTCTCGAGTCATTTCTCATTGATGTAGTTTTATTTTTGTACAACAAATGTGCATATGCATGCACATGCACATACAAATATGCTACGACTCTTAATTTCCCATTGATGTGTTACTTCTCCTATTTCACTAACCTAACAGAGAAATAAAATATCAAATGTAAAATTATAAATTGACACTAACCTAACTGAGAAATAGAATTATAAATTGTTTATTTTATAATTTTATATAATATATATAATTTTGATTTTTGTTTAATTGTATATATAAAATTTTAATTTATTTATACACATTTAAAAAGTAAATGCATTCATTTATAATAAAGTCATCTTTATACATTTTGGTAGGAGTAAAATGGTTCATCTATTAAAATGTTCATACGCTTATTTAGTTAAATGTTGATGTAAAATTTTAATATATTTTTAGATAAATTATGTAAATTTTAATATTAATTAAAATTATGCATGATATATTTACTCTTTTATTCTACCCAATTATCTTTTAAATTTTATAAAAAATTATATATAAATTTTATTAAAAAGTATATATATTAAAAATAATAAAGTAATATATTCTCGATGAATTTTTATATAAATATTTTCATTTAAATATTTAGAATTCTACTTGTTAAAAATATAGAACAAGGACAATTTCGTAAAATATACATTCCAGTAATCTTTTATTACTTCAACCAAACACTGTAATCTTACATTCCTGCCAAACAAACTAAACACAGTAATGTAACATTCCCAGTAATGTGTTAGGTAATGTTACATTCCGGTAATCCTATTCCCGAAGGTAATCTTACATTCCGTGAACCAAACACACCCTTAGGTTAAATTTAAAAGAGAGGGATTCGGTTGGAAACTAAATTAGGAAAACAATCAATTCATCAACACCTTTTATATTCAAAACAAATAAATATTTAATTTTTTTTTTTTTAATTTTAGGTCTCTAATTTTATTGTATTTAAATAAATATTTAATATGTTTGAAATTATTGTTTTAAGATCAATTCCATTACAATTATTAAAAAAATCATCAACCACTTAAAATATGATACATATAACACTTATAATTATTTTAAAAATTTTATTTAGTAAAAAACTTTTTTTTGTGATTTTTAAAAATCCCAAAACTTGTTACTGTCACCAAATATCTATCCACCTATCATTGTATTACCATTGCCAATTGTTATCTTATCGTCGTTCTAACATTCTAAATCCCTAAACTTAAATATAAAAATTGTATAAATCATAATCCTTAAATTATCACTATCTAGATCTTTAATCCTAAAATCTATTATCGTCATCGAACATCTATCCATCTATCATCAGACTCCCATTGTCGATAATTTTTATCTCAATTCTCTAAATCTATAAATCTTCATGAATCTTATATCCCTAAATCCACGTACACAAATTCACAACCCCAAAGATTATTACCACCATCGACATTATAAATGTCCACCCACCTATTATTAAATTTCCATTATTATCGAATAAATCTCTTAATCATCTAAAAAGAAGTAAAGACTCAAAATTTTAAAGATATAAAATTTATAATTTTAAGGTGTTATGTAAAAGAGTATAAAATTTTTAAAATTTTCTTTTTAAAAATTATGAATTTGAATTTTTTGTAAATATTAAACAATGCATCAAATGCTGATGGATTGCAAAAATAACTTTCAAATGATGAGTTTATAAATATTATGCTTATTTTGACCAATAGACACCTAAAATCAGCAAGAATTATAATTTAGATGATTATGTTTTAATTAAGTCTAAATATTAAACTTGAGTTTTTTTTAAATGGTTCAAATAACGGACTCAATTTTTAGGGATTGTTCTTGTAAAATGTTAAAACGGTTGAATAAGAATCTTGACGTTTTCAAGTATAAATTGGTCACAGACAATGTTGTAGGAACTATACAGGCAAACCCTATTAAAAAAACGATAGAGATGAGTCGTACTAGTTCAGACAACAGACTAATTCAACCTCTCGGAACGTGTTTATTTATCGTCTTGACCAGGACAACATAGTTCCGAGCAACACTCAAAGCAGTCAATGCATGCCAGCGCAGTGCATAGCTGTGTTAACGTAGTGGCACATTGAGCATTCATCTTCGAACAACAATGGATGCAGCTCATGCAACAGCACCATTTCCATATCTGATCACAGCAACTTGAAGTTTTCTTAATAAAAATCTCTGCAGCTTCGGGCAATTTCGGTTCTTGAGATCCGGGACGGATGTTTTTGGCGGTTGAAATTAGGTCACCGAAACCAACTGAAAGGGTTTGAAGCAATATCATTTCCGACGGTTCGGAATCCACTATTTTGTGTGGATCGCCTTTCTTCTGTTACGCCAAAACATTAACCGGAAATGAGAAGGCAGCTTCAGCAGTGTTTCGAGTGAAAAGATTTATGTGCACTCCCAGCTAGCATATATGAAATAAAATGAAATGAAGAAACCCCAACATGACTTAGTTGGACCTAGTTACTACAGTAGACAATGTAGCGAGATATACTCGTATCGTATACGGGGTCAAATGATACCTTTGAAGTTCCAGAATGTTTTGCAGATTTGACAATTTTATTTTTCTCACGTAGGACCATTCGAGTATACTCGGAGATGTTGCAGGTCAGCATGCTTTTCACTACTAATAAATGTGGTGCGATCTGAACAAATGAAACAAATCGAATACATTCATAATCATGCAGTTCATCTTATGTGGACACTGAGCAATTCGTAAGGATATATCCATCGCAACCTTTTTACTTGGCTGGTAAATGATATGGCAGGCCACGATTCTCTTTTCATGACTAAGGAGAATCGGTGCATCAACAAAGTCCTTTCTGCTATAGCCGGGCTATAGCGTAATTTTTACTAGTGTAATTTGTTTGTAATGATATTTTAGTTGAGTGATTAAGTTATAACTTTTACAAAAAAAAATTAACCCATTTATAGCAATAAGTGAGTGACCTAAGGTATATTTTACCCATTTATAATTTGATCAATCCAACGATTCTCTATAGTTTAAATTTTAAAGCATGTCTTAATCGTCGAATAAATCGGTTATTTTGAAGTGTGTAGATCATCTTGTAACCATTCGGATATCCTAACAAACATCACAAGCCCCTTAAATTTAAGAAAGTTTGCAACCCTAAAAGATAGTGATTTTCTTTTTGTTTAGTTATTAGGTTTTAAAGAGATTAAAAAAGAAGTAAATCAATAGAATGATAGAGGATAACGAAACAAGTTTATTTAGTTTTACAATAATTGTAACAATAATAAAAAAAATGTCAGCATTAAATTATCATATTATCTAATAACGAGGTTTAACATTTTAATGAAATTTAAAATTTAAATATTTTAAAATTTAATAATAAAATCAATACATAAAGTTGATTGATATTCCATATAGTCTATTTGTTTTAGACGGGGGAAAAAACTCTAAAGTTGAAGGGATTATTAAGAGAAACTCGGAATAGTATGAGCTGAGGATTATCTTTTCCCTCTTCATCTTAAGGTTTTGTCGAATTCCTTTTCCTTTATTATTGGAATTCATGGTATTAACTTCCTATTTGTAAGAGATTGTATCAACATCCGCCATTAATAACCTTTTTGACTTCATATCATTTGATTCCATGAATAAAGTTGAAACCCAAACTAGTGGCTGTTGCCCGGAAACCTGTACCGAACTGCATTTTTGTCGGTTGCTCATTGGATTTTTTTCCAGTCCACACGCGCATTACGTTCCATTGCTCAACCTTTCCAATTTGTTTTCCATCAAAGTTTGCAGATTTTGCTGCTCTTAATCATTAGTGTACTTCTCCTTTTTCCCCCAATATCTCATCCACGGACAAATCAGTTCCTCCAATGCAGCCTCCATGAAGCTTCCTCTCTTGTTCCCCACTCCAAACCCTGTTTTTCTTAGTCCCTATATCTCTTCTTATTTATCCCCATGTTTTGACACCCTCGAACATAAGAGAAATGGAACCCAGATCTCGGGGAGTGTTTCGTTCTGTTTTCGCCTTGGTATTACTTATCTTGTTTTACAATCACGAGAATGGATTCAAAACCCCATTTTTAGTGAAACTCAGAGCCGGGGTTGATGATCATGGTGAAGTTATCCACGGAAGAATCACAGAAACCGATGATAGAATTGTCAAAGTTGATGATTTTGTTGCCAATGACGTTACAGCTCGAAAACCCAAGATTTGTTCGGGATTGTTTGAGCACAAGGGCTATCCAACTCAAAGTGATTACTTGATTGCTCACCCCGAGTGTAACCCCGGTGAGATTTTCAACTACATCAAGTTCTTCTATTGCAGCTGTCAAAATTTCAGCTTCTTGGGGTTCACTGTGTTGGCTATATGGCTCGTTGCATTGTTTTATCTATTGGGAAACACAGCAGCGGATTACTTCTGCTGTTCCTTGGAAAAGTTTTCGAGTTTATTGAAAATGTCACCTACGGTTGCCGGCGTTACATTGTTGCCTCTAGGGAACGGTGCTCCCGATCTGTTTGCGAGCATTGCTGCATTTTCAGGGAAGAATTCAGGTGAAGTGGGGATTAATAGTGTGTTGGGAGGGGCTGTGTTTGTGACTTGTGTTGTTGTTGGGATAATCTCTCTTTGTATAGCTGAGAAAAGGGTCCAAATCGATAGGAATTCCTTTGTTAGGGAAACAGGTTTCTTCTTGTTTTGTTTGATTTGGCTTTTCCTGTTTTTAACTGTCGGAGAAGTCACTGTTGGGACTGCTTCGCTGTTTGTTTTGCTTATGTGATTTATGTGCTTGATGTTGCTCTCAATGGGGTTGCTAGGATAAACGTTAGGGTGTTTAAGTTGGGGTATGTCACACCATTGTTGCCTGTTAAACTCGGTGGTTCATCTTTTAGTGGAGATGAAGAGGGGGATTCTATCTATGCCTCGCTCGAAAACTGACATACCATGTCTCGAAAATAGGTTACCTCACTGGATGTGGGCATCTCAGGTGGCGATCTTTTCCGATGAGCCTGCAGATGATCTGAAACCGACGTGGGCTTGAAGTGATGAGGAAACGTCAAAGGACCGGTCTTTGTTCTCGTGTTGTAAGTTTCTTTCGTTGTTGGAGTTTCCAATGACGCTTCCAAAGTGGTTAACGATTCCTATGGTGGAAGAGAAATGGTCGAAGGGGTAAGCCGTGGCAAGTGCTACATTGACACCTATACTTCTCGCTTGCTTGTGGAACACGCAAGATGATGATGCAGCTCCATTAAGCCAGGAAATTGTGTACTTCATTGGTGTAACCCTTGGTGGTATACTTGGAGTTCCTGCATATCTATTCACTACATCTGATCATCCGCCTCGCCGGGTTTTGCTTCTGTGGGTTTTGGGAGGATTTATTATGAGCATAGTCTGGTTCTACATGATCGCAAGCAAGCTCGTTGCTTTGTTGGTGGGACTAGGTGTGATCTTCCGCATCAAACCTTCGATCCTCGGTCTAACTGTATTGGCATGGGGGAACTCGATGGGTGATTTGATGTCGGACATTGCAATAGCAATGAAAGGCAGGGATACCGTACAGATCGCCATGTCAGGATGCTACGTGGGACCGATGTTCAACACGCTTGCCGGTTTAGGCATCTCGTTGGTTCTCGGTGCTCGGAATAAAAAACCAGATCCATAAATAGTTCCCAAAGATAGCAGCTTGTTTTGCACAATGGGGTTTCTGGCTTTAGGCCTAGTTTGGTCTTTGATCGTGTTGCCCCGTAACGATATGCGGCCCAACAAGACACCGGGGATCGGCCTTATAATGATTTACTCAATATTTGTCACTGTTCAAATCAGTGCATCCGTCGGTGTTTTAACCATTGGTTTAGGCTAAAAATGCTATGAACTGAACTAAACAGTTAATTCTTCTGATATTTTGTCCAGTAAATTTTTTATTGAATTATGAAATAGTCACTAAACATGATAACGTGACACGTTAAGTTAACTAGCGATGTCGTTTACTTTGAGCGAAATCAAAAGGTGGTTACACCATATAAAACCGTTGAGCTTATCCTTGAGCAGATCAAAACCAGTTTATAAGGTCATAGCCCAAGCAGGAAGCATGCAGGCCGAATCGAATATATCTGCAAATAAATACCCAAAACCGAAAACTTTATTTTATAAAATCACAAACAATTCAATTGTATGTGAAGGGGAGTGATGGGAGGATAATGATTGTTCATTGATGTTGGAAAGTCTTTGTCTGTTCATTTATAGAACACAAGCAATCAATCGCATGCACATTTACCTCAATCTTCTTCCCCATGCAAAACAAAATCCTCCAAGTAGAGGTTACCGTCAAGTCAAAAACTTTTAAATTGTTTATTCTTATTCTATAATTTAAATTTTATTTAAAAGTTTTTCAAGTTAAATCACGTTGGATTATTCAAGTGGTTTCTTCTAACTCGAATTGAATTTAAAATCATTTTAAGACAAATAAAATCATTTTTAATTAAATTTTTCGAATCAAAACATACTAAAGAAATTATTCTTTTTAAATTAAATCAAATCAAATTTTATTCACTTTCTCACAGAGAATAAAGATAAATCCGATAAAACTTTGTTAATTAAATTAATAATAGAATTTAGGTGGAGATGGTGTACGTTGGTAATTTCGCATCGGAAGTGATGTCGAACTTACATTGTCCTGTCAAATGCCCCACGTGTGGGGGCGCTGACTGAACGCCACTCCCCCACACTGCGCGTGCAATTTCCCACTCCCTCAATCTTTTCAAACTAACTTCGAGTTTGAAAAAAAAAACCAAGCAGGACTAAACATAGGCCCTCACTCTTGTTACCTGGAACATGGATTTGCTATTTCTAGTTTGCGTGTTACAAAAGCAACATCAACTCAGACCTTTGCACTTACCGGATCTTACGTGACATCATTCGCTTAAAACACTCATTTATTATGTGACATAAATAATTATCAAATTTTATTAAAATATATTTTTAATTATTAAAATTTTAAAAGATCTATTATTTTTTTAAAATAATTATAAAATAAATTTTAAAAAATATTATATTATAAAAATGATATGACAAAAAAATTATTAAATTCACTATTTTAAAAAAAATTAGAGCATGTAATGTTCGGCAAATCGACAATTTTCCCAATAAATCACCGGTGATCGGTATATTTACCGATCTAACACCGGACAGATTATATTTTTCGATCTAACACCCGTAGCAGTAAAGCGCACCCCCTGAACCGCGCTATATGTTGATTTGGTGCCATGTGGGTATAGCGCCCCCTGCCCCGCGATATACGGTGATCTGGCGCCACGTGGGTATAGCGCGCCCCCTGATCCGCGCTATACCTAGGTATCTAACACGTGGGGTATAGCGCGGTGCAGGGGGCGCGCTATACCCCTAAATACCCAACCTTACACGTCTCCATCCTCCCTATAAATACCCCTATCCTCAATCACTTTTATCACACCAAATTCTCTAAATTTCTCTCAAATATTCTATCTTTTTAAGGTATATTTTATAATATTTTTACTATTATGTATTTATTTTATTTAATATTTTACTAATATAATTCTTTTGCAGATATATAATGGAATGCAGTCTACTTCGCTCGGATGGAAATCATATGAACAAAATGTGTGAGCCAGCCCATAGTGTGA